TCATCACCGATCATTTGGAGCAAGTCGCCGTAGATCAGGTCGTGCCCTCTTCCCGCAGTCGGCGCCAGGTGGCGGGATGACGGGGGCTACGGAGTTCTTGAAGGAGATCCGCAACGTGTGGGACGACCATACGACGTGTTTGAAGATGATTAGGGATATCCTGCGGTATATGGTAAGACGACAGGACGCCCCGTTCTAGGTTTTGAAATGGACATGAGAGTAATGGGGAATGGCCGGTTTCTAGGATACGGTCTATGTGAAGCAGCTGATCTGTTGACGGTGTACGATTCGGGCATCGACCTGTTCGGGACGTCATTACACGGTCGGGGAAGCATCCGATACAGACGCATTTGATCAATTCGTTTGTTGTACCATATCCTGCTGGAACGGGATGGGGAGGTTGTGGATAGGCTGGTTGTGAAGAGCGTGACGAGATATGTTGGTTAGTTTGACGTCGGCGAAAGGTGGGTTTCCAGCCTCGGGAGTACTGCCTCTCATTCCATTACCCGGGGGCGGGATCCTGACTGGGCATGTTGCTATATCACAGACGTCACACGAACTGGCCACGAGCCCACAGTCTACGAAACGGATTTCGAGGTCCAGTTCCTGCAAACCAGCAATGACTTTTACAGTCTGGAGAGTGGAATGTCGTTGCACGAGTGCAATGCGACGGAGTATCTCAAAAGGGTGGGTTTCGGCCAGCCAGCCGACGGTTCCAGAATGGGGGGAACAGTGGGATGTTGACAAAGCTCGTTTGAACGAAAGGCCGAGCGACGATTGATCGAGGAAGAGCAAAGGATCGATAATTACCTCACCCCGGCAACGGAGCCGAAGATACGGCGGGTGGTGGAGAAGCAGCTGCTGGAGAATCATGTCAAGACAATCATCGAGGTATGAAGGTCAAAGCCAAACGGTAGTGAGCGCTCATAACCTTTCCATCGGCATACAGATGGAGAACTCGGGAATGGTCTCGATGATGGAAGACGACAAACTAGACGACTTACGGCGCATGTACAAGCTCCTCGGGCGGGTCCCTAATGGGCACATCCAGATGCGCCAAACACTCTCTCAGTTTATGGAAGATCACGTTGCCGAAATCAACCAAACCGTCGGCGGAATCGACGCATCCCAACCGAGCCGAATGAGCAAATCGGCCAGCGCGTCGAGTATCCCCTCCGCCGCCGCCGCCGCCGCCGATACGGAAAAGGCGGGCGCGCAGAAAGCGGACCCGCTGAAATGGGTGGAGCAGGTGTTGGCGTTGAAAGAGAAAGTGGACGCGTATTTTGAGCATTCGTTTGCGAACGATTCGAATTTTGAGACGGAGATGAATAATGCGCTGGAGCGGTCGCTGAATAGGAATAGAAAGGCGCCGGAGTTTGTCAGCTTGTTTATTGATGAGAATTTGAAGAAGGGGTTGAAGGGGGTGAGTTGTGCAACCACTTCGGTTCGTTTTGCTCATGTCGTGCAGGTGATTTGACTCGTATCCGGTTCTTACTAGAAATCGGAGGAGGAAGTGGACGCATTGCTGGATCGGACTGTTACCATCTTCCGCTTCGTGCAGGAGAAAGACATCTTTGAACGGTACTACAAGCAGCACTTGGCGAAGCGGTTATTGTTTGGGAAGAGTATTAGCGAGGATGTGGAGAAGAATATGATATCCAAGTTGAAGGTATGTTTGTGCGTTGGTGCTCTTTCTGGTAATTGGCCGCGGCGCTAACCTGTACCAATTCTCAGACCGAATGCGGCTACCAATTCACACAAAAATGGGAAGGCATGTTCAACGACATGCGGACGTCCACGGACATGATGGTCGACTTCCACAACCACCTCGCAACCGCCGTCACAGCCCCGAAAGACATGGTCAACCTCAATATCAGCATCCTCACATCCAGCTACTGGCCGATGACCGGCATCGGCGCCGATCAAGTCTGCCACTTTCCCCCCGAAGTCGCCGCCTGCCAACAACATTTCGACAAATATTACCACTCCCGCCACTCGGGCCGCCGGCTCACGTGGTCGAGCCAATTGGGCACGGCGGATATCAAGGCATCGTTCAAAAAAGGGAATAAGGAGTTCAACGTTTCGACGTACGGCATGCTTGTCCTTGTCGGCGTCTTCAACGACGTGGCGGACGGCGAGGCAGTGTCGTACCAGACCATCAGCGACAAGAGCGGGATACCCGAACAAGATCTCAAGCGCACACTCCAAAGCCTCGCTCTGGGCAAACACAAGATTCTCCTCAAGAGCACGAAAGGACCCGCAGTCAACCCCACCGACACCTTTAAAGTCAACACGGAGTTTACATCCCCCATGTACAAATTCAAAATCCAGCAAGTCGCCGGGTCCACGAAATCCTCCCACGGTGCTGCCATTTCTGGCAATTCAATGGAAACCGACGCAGAACGCACCGAAACGATGGAAAAGATCGAAGAGGCGCGCAAACACCAGATAGAGGCGTGTATCGTGCGCATCATGAAGGCGCGCAAGAAGCTGGACCATAATAATCTCGTCGCCGAGGTGATCAAGCAGACGACGAGCCGGTTTGTGCCGGAGCCCGCGATTGTGAAGCGGAGGATCGAGGGGTTGATTGAGAGGGAGTATTTGGAGAGGGATAAATCTGATCGGTAGGTGTTGCCCACACTGAACATCCATTACTCTCGGACCCGTCTTGCTAACACTCTTACTCCCGATAGGAAAATGTACAACTACCTGGCATGAGAAAAACTTGCACTCTGCGTACCCCCTTATACCCATACCTTATACTGTATCGCGCGTATCTTAACCGCATTTCTTTCCTTGCATTTATTTGTTGTCCCCATTTCAGCTCTGCCAGGCAGTTGTGGAGGCAAAATTACTTGTACATGGTTGTGTCCCCCCACTTTTTTTTCAACCCCTGATCTCTTTTTGGAAAATATGATTTTTTGTGTCATGTTTGGTTACGAGCAGTTGTTTTTGGGGGTTGAGGAGAGATGCATGATGGATGTGGCATGTAGACGGTGCTCCTCTGAACGGTGTCCTCTGCGCATGCACATGGGACATATGTATGGCGCACCGACGGCTTCATCCCGACGGTCATCACCAAGTCACTGCTTCCAGATTCCAATCACGCTCGTCCTCCTGATGTACAGTACAGTAGGCTGCCAGATATCAGGTTACGACGCCCCAAGGACACATCATTCCGAGCATAGTCACCGGCTCAAGTTGCCGACCCCCATGCAAATCCTTTCAGCACGACCGCTAGCCCAGGGCAGGACTGACAGCTCGCCGGTGACTTCTGGGGTTGCACAGGGAGGCTCAACAACCCGTCGTAACCAGATATCTGGCAGCCTACTGTAGGTTGGTCGGAGTCTACTACTACATCTGCCCAGCTGCTATCAACCCTCAGGAGCGCAATTCGATGCCGGTCGGTGATCATAGCGAGAGTATTGGTGGATCAAGAAACGAAAGAGGGCCCCGGCTTGAATGTCACGACCAAGGGTGATGGGAGAACCAGGGTTCCTACAGTTGTTGCAGATACCACAGTTGTAAAGTCGACGTTCGCTGCCAATCTTGGGTTGGCCATCGGTACATCCTCATCATAATCATCACCAAGATAACAGTAGTGGCAAAGGGTCGGCGCGCCGGCCCCAAAGTACGTATAGATATGACGATTCAGACAGGATGGGTACTAAATCATGTCCTCCTGCAGACCTCAAGAGCAACCTCTCAAAAGCGGGCCAGAGCGTCAGCATCATAAACAAAAAACATGATCAGAGGAAAAGAACGTACAGATCCCCAAGACCCCCAAGACACATTTCATCCCATCCCGCCCCATCCCTACTCATTCGGCAACCCACACATCTCACAACTCGCCACCCCGCCCGGATTTCTAAAGGTGCAATGCCTACATGCCCACGGCGCTTTCGCCGCAGCAGCAGAAGATGGTCCTGCCGCGCCTGAGCTGGACGTGGATGGGCCGGAGGAAACGGGTCCCGCGCCAACCGTTTCCTTCATGATCATCTCCAGAGTCTGCCAGGAAGGCCGCTGGACCAACTGGGTGGCGAGGGGTTCCAAGTGGGCTTTGGCGATGTCTATTGCGAGTTGCATGTCAGACTATCACAGAAAACCAAATCAGTAACAAGCAACTGGTCACAATGGTGAGACGAAAATGATATGCGAGTCATACCTGCTCAACAACCCCAACACCCCGCAAATAATGCAGCAAATGGAAATCAGACAACATATCCGTCAACGAGCCATGTTTAAGGTGTCGCTGCAGTGCGCCCATATCCTGCGTCTCGACACCGGGTCGGTTCTCGATTGGGAAGTTGAGGGGGGAGGTGAAGAGTGGGGATGGGGTTTGCGGGAATCCGTGTGTTACCTGAAAGATTGACAAAACCACATTAGTGGCTGGGGGTTTCTCCACCAACGGATAGCTTGATTGTACTTACCGTCACCAAGAGGTACTCGACAGGAAATGTGGGCCGGGCAGCGTCTTGCACCATGATTCCGTACTTGTTTTTGTACTTGTAGAACACTTCGGGAACGTAGTGTTCGTCTGTAAGCTGCTTAACACGCACGAGGGATGGTTCGACGGAGGCTTCGATGATGTCGTCCCGGACCATCGCCATCGCTGTGTTGGAGACCTGAAAGGTCGAGATGTCGATGCCGCCGTCCTCGTTTCCTGCAGAATCCAGGATGTCAATCAGTCATTCGCAACACATGAACGCGCTACAGCACGAAGTCCATACCAGTCATAACACAAGTAACGAACCGACTCCCAAACTTCCCCGAAGCCGACCACTTGCTCACAGTCGGGTTCTTCAACTGCATCTCCGCTGACAAGATACATTCCGCCGAGGACAGAAAGTACGAGTCCGCATGGCGTTTACAGATAACCGTCCCCTTCCCCCTCCCGTCGTCCGTCAGATCCGTGTAGATCATGCCCACTTTAACGAGCCCGAGTCGCGCAGCTATCTCTTCGACGGCGGCCATTTCCGTGTTTGGCAGGGTTAGCTGCAGTCCGTCGTATGCGCCTTCTTGTGGTGGTTCGTAAATGGCAGAGACGACCGCTTTCACACCCAGCGGTACTTCCGCGTACGGCTCGAAGCGGCCGTAGAGGTAACCGAACCGTTGATACCCTGTTGCACGCCAGTACTTGAGGAAATTGTCGATCATTCCTGCCGTTTCAAACTCAATGTGATCCACCATGCGGAAATTCTGGTGCGCAAATGAACAGCTCAGCCCACGATCACCATGCTGCACATTGGATAGAGAGAAATTTACCTGGCTTTGCAGTGTCACCGCACTGGGCTGACATTTCGTGCAAATCCCCTTCGGCCACGACTCGTGCGTTCGACTCGGGCAAGGTATTTTCACCTTCATCTCAGCTTCCTCCAATGGAGACAGGAACTGGGAACTCGTCGGGGGTGCGGTTTTGTTCTGATCCGTCAGTCTCCGTAGGTATGCATGGAATGACATGTGCTTTATCTTGTTGTCTTCAAGGTATTTCGCGTCCCATGGCTACGAGAGTGCAGATTGAGTTAGTGACATGTTAACGCGAAGCCCAGCTTCATGATTCGCGCACACACCTGTAACGGCATACAGTATTCACACATTCCGGAAGCGCCATGTTTGCAGCTGTAGCAATGCGTGTTAGTACAAAAGACAAACAATGGCTGCATCCTCGCTTCTCCACGTACAATCTCGCGTCTCTTCCTCGTTTGATAGTCCCCGGCTGCTTTTCCAGACCATCATCGATGGCATCCTGCTTAACTACCGGACGAGGCTCCTGTGCCCCAGTCGACGTCACCGCCGATGCCGACGCGGCGGGTTCCGCAGCGGTACGTTTGAAATCCACATAAAGAATGTCGCCATGTCTGTGTTAGGATCACGTTGTCAGCCATTCTCCACCTTGCACTATCAAGCAAAACATGCACATCAGCGGTCCTTACTTCAATCCAAGCCCACCAACCGGCTGACCCGCCGGTACAGAGACAACCTGTGCACCCTTCGAGTCTGTCGAGATCAACAGCGACTTGTCGTCCACTTTCAACGCCGCCGCTATCTGCATATCGGACGACAATCAGGACAAAACGTGTCCACTTCATAACTATGTCCAAGCTGCTCGCAGGCCATACCTTATTCCGCAGCGAAACGATATCTTCGCTGGGCTCGACATCGACCCTGGAACGTCCCTCCTTGCTGTGGACCCTGATGATCTAAACGAATCTGCGGGGTTAGACGGACATTATCCGCGAATCCCGAGGAGGGTAGAAGCAGGAGAACGATACCATTGTTGGGAGAACGATGGCCAGTATCGAATCACCGTGCGATAATAAACCAATGGTGGTAAGACCGACGACCAGGTCTGGATGCTATGGTTGCTTGTCCAAAGTAATATGGGCGCCGTCGCTGGTCTTTTCCACTCTAACCAGTCACAACCCTAACCCGTCGCGACTAGGAGCTCTACCATTTCTCATCGCGTTTTACTCGACCACTACGTACAGTACGTAAATCGGATTGCGCAGGTGAAGTGACTGAGAACGGCCTTTGGGAGAAAGAAGTTCGTAGCATATATGTAGGCATCAAGCGATAATCGCACAGTTGTTAACGTACATTCGAAATGGTACATATGTCAAAATTTAGTTCGCATTCGAAGATATCTACTATGAACATAGAATGTACACGACAACCGCTCATCTGCCACTGGAATCCATCAACTCCTATTGTACACCCCATCCATCATGCCTCCGCCCACTCCATTCCTCCCTCACCCACCTCCCCCCTGTCCTCCCCCCTCTCCCCCATAACAACATCATAAATGCCCACATTGAACGGATGCCTCACCAGCATATCATACAAATCCTCGGGCAACCTCGCCACCAGCCCTGTTATGGACGACACGCCCATACCATAAGCATACCTCACGACAGCACACTGACAGCCGCCAATGTCGATGCCAATGTCAATGTCAATGTCAATGTCAATGTCCATGTTGGTGTCAATGTCAATGTCAAACACCACTCCTCCGCTCTCCTCTCGTTTGCCAATCCCCCCGCAATATCGCCGCTCCTCCTCTACCCCACTCATCTGTGAGCCAATCTCTGGCCATTTGTCAACCCCCAATACTTCTCCACAGCCAGCAGCTGTAGCAATGCTCTCTACGCTCGCCACGCCCGCTCTAGGCTAGGTAGCATAGCTGGCGCTTACCCAGCCCCCTCTGGTTGTTGTTCTTCGCTCTGCTGGGTTGTTCATCTAAAAATAGGCGCCCCCTCTTCGGCCATTCCCTTCCTCCCCAGCAGATCAACACCAGTTCTTCTCACATCCTGTTCTAGTTCTCATTCCTTGTTTCGCCAATACAATCTCTTGTCGCCTATCGCTCTCGCTCTGTCATCTCTTCTTCGCTTCCGCCTCCATCGTCGAGATCATAACACTTTCTGCCTAGAAACAATGGCGCCAGTACGACAGCGCTTCGCTTTTATGCTTTTATGGTATGCTCCTGATGCCAAAGACCCTCCGGTGTCACAAACGGTGGCGATATGAGGGGACCAATGGTGGACTCCATCATAGATCGTCCAGATCCACGCATCTCACCATTCTCGTTAGCATTATCGAAGCCGACTGCATGTGGAGACTTTCCGCGATACCCTTGGGAGTGTTTCCATCCTCCCGAGTCCCCGGTTAGGGTTCCCGTAGTTTATTTCCTCACGTGACTCCCCTCCCGCTTACGCCACGCTTCCGCGTACGGGACTTCACTCTTTTCTTCCCCTTCGGACCTCGCGTCCTCTTTACACTTTAGACTTTTCTACACAAGACAATACATACTTCACAGTACAGCATTGCAAACTACATAGAGTTCGCTCAGTCATCTGCTTCCTCTGCCGACTACTGCTAAGTCTTTTTGTGTTCTGGTTAATGGAACAGGAAAGGTCAGAAACCGTTGTCCTACGAGACCTGCTCCCGCCAGTTTATGACAAATGGTAGGGCATCTTACCGTCACTCCAAAAAACCGGCCTGGCGAGGTTGCAGATGCTGAGAATTGAGACCTCCTCTTGCCAGCTGATTTCCCCTCAGCTGATTTCCCATCCGCGGTTCTGTTTAGTGGCACGCTATTCCCTGCTGACCTTGTTTGGCCGTTGCCTTTTGCGGCATTCGTTGAGCTGAGCGGGTGGCATGGCTAGTTACGTTGGGACACTTGCCAGAAGAGCGACGGGATGACCGTCCCGCAGAGGCTGTTGAGGCTGCTCGTGGACAGCGGGCGAACATGGTGAGAAGCGCCCTGAGTCGTGGCTTGCGCTTGATTTGTCGGAGAACAAGAAAGCAAGTCGGACTGTCTGCCTAGTCTCCAGGAATATAGATTCTCAGGCTGGTGCCACTGTTCGAAGTGTATAATAAGTCGGCAGCTCCTGTCGTCGATGTCGATACCTTGATAAGCGACTCCTATGTTTACTTATATTGGCCGCTTACAGACATTGCGATTACGCCACACAAAATGAGCCGGCTTGTTCAGGTGAGCAGACGCCAGAGTCAGGGTGAGGATAAAAATGGGGAATTAAAAAAGGATGTGCCCGGCGACGATGTTCCCGTCAAGGCGACCCGACGCATGCACTCAGAACCCATAGGTGTGGCTGCTTTGGGCGACGGCGATGTGAGGCCAGTACCTTCACACCGTGCATCTACATGGAAGGAACGGTCCGCACCACTATAGGTGAGAATTAGAAGCCGAGAATTAGAAGCCGCACACAAAGCCGATCGCTTGAGGCTGATAGGGCTGATTGTTTTGGGACGGCCTCGCGATATGGAAAAGGCATCGCTTGAGGCTGATAGTTTTGGGACGGCCTCGCGAACGTCCACTCGTGCACCCTGGGAAGCACTCCCACCATGACGACGGCAATCACATCCGAATCCCCACAACTCACTATCGCCCCAGAACACAGCTAACTCGAGTATCCACTTTTCACCTCAAGTGAACTACCATGGCAAAGTCCAGACGATCACAATCAAAAGCTTCCATCGCAATTTGAGATGAGCGCCAACAGCGACGAAAATTGGTAAAGCTTGATAGCATACGAGAGAGGTTGAATGTTATGGACGACGCGCCCATACCATAAGCTTACCTACTGACAGCCGCCAATGTCAACCGCCAAATGTCAAACGCCAATGTCAATGTCAATGTCAGTGTCAATGTCAGTGTCAATGACCATGTCAATGCCACTCCCCCTCTCTCCTCTCATTTTGCCAATCCTCTTGCAATATCGCCACTCCTCCTCTCTCCTCTCATTTTGCCAATCCCCCCTCGGCTTCTCCACACCCCCCACTACTTCCCCATAGCCAGCAGCTGTAGCAATGCTCTCTACGCTCGCCACGCACACTCTAGGAGCATAGCTGGCGCCCCCCCAGTCCCCTCTTGTTGTTGTTGTTCTCTGATCTGCTGGGTTGCCTATCTATAAATAGCCGGCCTCTCTTCGTCCATTCCCTTCCTCCCCAGCAGATCAACACCAGTTCTTCTCATCTCCTGTTCTAGTCCTTGTTTCTTGTTTCGCCAATACAATCTCTTGTCGCCGATCACACTCGCCCTGTCTTCTCTACTTCGCTTCCGCCCCGTCGTCGAGATCATAACAGTTTGATCTGCTCCAACACTGCGAAGTTCGGAACATGTCCAGCCCTGCATCCGACAAACCTTTTTTTCGCCATGTCCCAACCCGAATCCGTACCTTTCACCGCCAAGCAATGGAACGATATGTGCCAAGCCATCGCCGCCTTGCAAAGCCAAAACGCCAACTTGCAGACCAACCTAGCGCAAGCCCAAGCCGACGCACAAGCTGCCCAGAGCATCGCCGCCCAGGTTCAAGCCGATACGTACACCCGTCCCCAAGTCGCCAACCCTGCTCTGGAGCCAAGAATCAGCTCGCCCGAGAAGTTTGATGGTACCCGCAGCAAATTCCGTGGGTGGTTGAACAACATCCGGTTGATGTTTGCTCTCCAGCCCGACCGCTACCCCAGCGACATCATCAAGATCCAAACTATTGACACCTACCTCACCAGCACTGCGCAAGCCTGGATGGCGCCCCTAGTCAAACGCCAAGATCACAGCCTTCAGGACTTTGATAGTTTTATCAGTCAGATGCAATCGGTCTTCGGAGACAGCGACAGGGTCCGCACCTCTGAAAACAAGCTCCAGAACCTTCGCCAAACCCGTGCAGCAACCGAGTACGTCGCTGAGTTCCGCCAGCTACAATGCGATGTCTCCTGGAACGACCAGGCCCTGATTGCTACCTTCCGCCGTGGCCTCAAAGAAGACGTCAAAGACCTGATGCTCACAATGCCCCCTGCGGCCACCATTGATGTGGTGATGGAGCAGGCTATCCAGTGCGATAACCGGCTGTTTGAGCGCCGCCTGGAGCGAAACAGAAGCCGCCAGACCTTCCCGGTTCCCCACACCTCGTTTACTACTACCAACACTGTCGACCACAGCGAGCCTATGCAGATTGACGCCGCTCGTCCCCGCGGCCCTCTGAGCCCTCAGGAACGCCAACGCCGCATTTCCAACAACCTCTGCCTTTACTGCGGTGGCGCGGGGCACATTGCAAAAGTCTGCCCCGTCAAGAACAAGACCACCACCCGTGCCGCCAACGTCGACATCAAAGAACCCTCCACCGAACAGGGTTTTCCCAAAGTCCAGCCGCAGTAAAGCCCCAGCGACTGGACAACACACACCGCCCCGGGCCTCCTAACCTCGCAGCTCCTGCAACGGGAGAGGCCACCCCCCTGGTTCCCGACTCCCTTATAGCCGACACAACCCTCCTAGCCGCTGCCCATGTCGATGTTATGGACGACGCGCCCATACCATAAGCTTACCTACTGACAGCCGCCAATGTC